CTCCCACCCGGGGGGCCGCCCCCGACGGAGGGAGCCCGCCCGACCTGGGCTGGCCTCCGCGCTCCGCAACTTCCCTTCCAGCCCCGGGCCGCGCCTCCCCGCAGGGCCACGCCTCCCGGGCTCGCAAGGGTTAAGGCGGCGGAGAGAAGAGGTTTGGGCTGACGTCGCTCTGGCTGAAGGTGGTTCCCCTCCGATGAGGATGGGAGAGCCTGGCGAGCTGAAACCCGAGCTCCCGCTCAGCCGGGGCTTGGGGAGGTCCCTGTAAGAGCCGCCTGCCCGCGGCCTCCCTCGGTCCCTCCTCTCCGTCCCCAGCAGTCGCTCCAGCACCAGCCGCGGGAAGGATGGAGCTGGGCTGGTGGACGCAGCTGGGGCTCACTTTCCTGCAGCTCCTGCTCATCTCGTCCTTGCCAAGAGGTACTGTGAGTAGCATTCAGGACACCCCGGGAGGGGACATTTCCCTCCTGGGGTCTGATAGGGAGCAGGACTGAGGAGTCTCAAGAGGAGGGGAGAAGGTAATTTTTCTAGTGATAATATTGGGGGCTTGGCTGGTGGTAGTAGAGCGGCTGTCACAGTCTCTCGGAATGTGACATGGTTTTGTTATCCCAAATTGTGGGACTGAACTGTCTCAGGAAGGGGGACCAGCTCGTTTGATTTGCTTTTTAAATTTTATCTTTCTAAAAGCACCCAGTGATCTCTTACCTTGGGAGATCAATCCAGTATGGGTTGCCCACTCTGACCTGCCAAAACAAAGTTTCCCCTTGAAAGGGCTCCCTCAGAGGTGAGCAGGGGAGAAAGAAGAGAGGGAAGGAAAGAAACGAATGACCAGCAAGGCTTGCTTGGGTGTTCTTCCTGGTGAATCTTGCTTGTTGAAATCTTACACTCATGACTCTTCCGACAGATCCCCAGCATAGGAGATTTACTCACTCAGCATGTATACACTTCCTTCCTGAAAGAAATGAGAAAGAAGAAAAAGCTGAGGTTAAAAGTGCACATTGTTTGGGTGATACACAGTGTTTGTTTTGAAAGATCTCTGGCTTCTTTGTTTTTCACATGTCATTTTCTGAGCCACAGACCCAGGTCAAATGGGCTCCTAGGGGCAAATGAGGTTGGGACATGACCCACAGCTCCTGGGATCCCTTGACCCAGCTAAGGGCAGAAGCAAGAGAATGGCAGGCTTGTCCGGTAATCGCCTGCTGGCAGGCAGAAAAGTGAGGACTTCTGGGGAGCATCTGTCTTTATAAGGCTGGAGGGGTGAGGTGTCAGGGGGTAAGGTGTGACCTCATGTGGCTAGGGCAGGCTGAGAAATACAGATTGACAAAACAGGGCAGCTTTGCATAGGAACAGGGGACACGTGAGCCTTTGCTTCCTCCCTTCCATGGGGGTTACCTGTCACCTGTGCTGTCCTTGACAGGGGGGTGCTCTGCTGCTGCAAGTAGCGGGTAAGTGCCTGAGAATGAAACAGGATAAATGGGGCAGCGAGGATGCTAAATGCAACAGCCCACTGCATAGAAGGGGGACACAGCCATGAGGCACATCCCTACAGGATAAAAACGACCCCCCGCCCCATTTTAGTCAATATTTTCCATCTACCTAGAGCCCTCCTGCCCAGGTAAAATCTTCCTTAGTGATTTACTATCAAGATGGTGAGAGTGTTTGCCTCAATGGCATCTGGAGCAGCCCAAAGACAATAACGAAGGAAGAAGAAGCCCTTCACAGGGGCTGATGACCTGTAAACCTAAACACTTATCCAGGGGTAGGTTGACGATTTTACGTTAAGACTCCTCCCTACTCCATCTCTGTCTTTTGGAATGTGGTTTGGTGGCCTTAGACCAACTCCAGAAGATCCTGGTTCTTCTCCGAGCACCAGGGCTCAGTGAATGAGTTGCAGCAACACACCTCTGCTTCCCTTTTATAACATGGCAGGTGAGATGGCTCAAACCCATATAAGTTAAAAAATAAAGCTTAGCTGACCCTTTTTTCTAGCCCAGGATCTGAAAAACCTATTTATTCCTGACCTGAGAATCTCTTTTACCTTTTTCTTTGGAAAAGCTTCAGGGAAGGTGCATGATTTGTTGGCAACCAAGCTGCTGGCTAAACCAGAGAGTAGCTTCACGTGTTTAGCAAAGGTATTTCAGTTTTTGAACATTCACATTTAGAGGGAAGACAGAGGGATAGAGTGGAGAAGGAAAATATTTCTTCATGTAGTGAATGAGTCCACTCCCTGCTGGAATTCTGAATCTGGCCCTGTCAAGCAAAGCTTGGAAACATATTTCCTCTAATTACTTTTCTAAACAGAGCATTTGATACGACGTCAACATCCACTGGGATACTATGGGATATTGCTGTTTCTCATTGGCATGTTGTGACACATGTCGGGGGACAAGAATCCAAACATTAGGCCAAGTGATAACCTAACATAAACAGCATGTGAGGGGAGAAACTCAACTCCACTGACTTCACTGAATAGCAGTAGCTCTGCCAGCATGATTCTGCCCAAGAGGAAAACCTCATTTAAAATATGGGCCTCTTGGGAAGGAAACCTTAATATGGAGAACTTCACAAGTGCTGTTTCCAACAGACATTAGCTTATGGGGAATGAACTTGAATGCAACTGGGAAGATAATTTGAAGCACAGATATTTAGTGGGTAAGAGCAGCCAGCTGAGAAAGGGAATGTGGGGAAAAAAATAAGCAAGGGGGAGACGAGTGGCAAGAAAATTAGATGTTTGTGATGGGATGTGTTAGCAAATTCCAAGGAGACAGACGTGAAAACTGGGCTCTCTTGGCAGGGGTGGATTTTTGTGGGGATCATGAAGAGGGTGTTCCCTTAGTATATTCTCTGAGAGTTCCTGGCTTCCCCAACAGGAAAAGAATTTAATGGTGGGCTCATGGATTTTTGGAGCTGAGAGTGACTTTATAGATTATTTTAGTTTGAGTCCCTCAATTTCAGAGGACAATGAGATTAAACATCTAGCTAACATTTAGTGAACATTCATGATGTGCCCAGCCTTTGAACCAAATGCTTTATGTGTGTTAATTCTCAGACTTCCCTAATAAGGTCAGTGCTATTATTTTATTTTATTTTATTTTATTTTTTTGCCTTTTTCGTGACCGGTAAGGGGATCGCAACCCTTGGTTTGGTGTCGCCCCCACCGCGCTCAGCCAGTGAGCGCACCGGCCAGTCCTATATAGGATCCGAACCCATGGCGGGAGCGTCGCTACGCTCCCAGCGCCGCACTCTCCCAAGTGCACCACCGGGTCGGCCCAGGTCAGTGCTATTATTATCCCTGTTCTACAGATGAGTTTCATAGAGGTTCTGTGACTGGTTCAAGGATACGCAGGCACGGTTCCTCAAAAAATTAAAGGTAGAATTACTATTTCTATTTGATCTAGCAATCCCACTTCTGGGTATACGCACAAAAAAATACACCCAGGTATTTGTGCACCTGCTTTCAAACCAGCATTATTCCCAATAGCCAAAAGGTGGAAACAATCCAAAACGTGACATATACATATAATGGAATATTATTCAGCCTTAGAAATGAAGGAAACTCTGATACATGCTACAACATGAATGAACCTCGAAGACATTATGTTAAGTAAAGGAAGCTGGACACAAAAAGTCAAATATTGTGTGATTCCAAGTATATGAGGTACCTAGAATAGTCAGATTCATATAGACAGAAAGTAGGATGATGGTTGCGAGGGGCAGGAGGAGGAGGGAATGGGGAGCTATTGCTAAATGGGTAAAGTTTCAGTTTGAGATGATGAAAAAGGCCTGGTGATGGGTGCTGATGATGGTTTCACAGCAGGGTGGATGTGCTTAATGTAACTGAACTGCACTTAAAAATGGTTAGAAAGGTAATTTTATATTATCTGTATTTTGTCACAATAAAAAATAAAAAAATCTGCTCAGATGGATTAGTGGAGACTGGGGTGAGCCCAGGCTGTCTAATTTCTGAGCCCAGGTTCACCTGTTAGCTGGCTGCCCTACACTCACACGTCCAGCATATGCATTGGTCATGCTACTGCACATCTAACCTTGGCAAGGTTTCAGGACACACATGAAGCAGGGGGAGAGAGTCCTTGCTAGCTCCTGTTTGGGTGGCACTGGTGCTGTGTCTTGGCTGGCTGTGGTGAAGAGTGAGACTGTAGAACTGAAGGACTGCAGACTGGCAGACTCCAGGCCAAAGGCCTGCAGAAGTATTCAGTAGGACACGGTGCTTAAAAATGTTTGGAGCCTGAATGCCTCAAGGGATGCTGGGTCTCTCTGCAGTCTGATACCTCCCTTCTCAACCACATATTTGATACCTGCTATTGCCTACTGGCATTTGAGTTTGTGACCTCATCCTCGAGAGGGACTTGGCAGGAAAGGAATGTGAGAGAGAAGGAAGGTGGAAGAAGCCTGGATTCTGAATGGGGAGAATACAACTGAGTGAAACTAAAGGTTGACTGGATAACAGGACATTAGAAAGCATCTAATGCATTAGACTTTAATAGGCATCTGATATATTTCAACTTGCATGTTTTGTGGAACATAACCTCACCTCTCTCTTTGACCTCCAACTCTTTGATAAAATATCTTCCTCTCTTGAATGCCTTTGAGTGTGAGCTTTTGGTGGAAACTGAGGATGAAGCTGGGTTATGTCTGGGTCAATAAGCTGTGGATAGAGCACCTTTGGACATGGGAGCCCAGAAGCAGAGGTGACCTAGAGTGCGTAAGTCCCTTAGGAATATCTAGAAGTCTTGGGGAGAGCTGTGGAATGCCACTGGCATGGACTGTGGGTTGGACTTTATCTCATCTATATCTGGGTTACACTGGCTATATGGAAATGACTAGAATAATGGTGTCTCGGGGACCTAATGACTGGCCTAAAGTCTGAAAATTATTTTCACCTGTCCCACTGGAGGTGGCCAATCCCCATGCAATAGAATGTATCTCCACCTGCCTCCCCTGAGACCAGATCTAGGAGCTGCAGTTGATTTGGGGTGTGTGCAAACTGGAACAGGTGCCATTTCGATGTTAAACAGGGAAGGAGCTGCAACCTTACTCTATGGATATTCGCAAGTCTCAAGAGCCCAGCCTCCCTCCCCTCTTACTATATTTTAAAGAGAAGGGGAATGCAGTGTTTACATTTTCTACTTCCTGAATTCCAGGGCAGAGAACCCAGAGGCCAGTTGGAGCATAGAAAACTACCAGATCAGTGACAGAAAGTCTATCAGATTCCAAGCCTTGACTATGTTTAGAGAATTCTGTTTGTCAGTCATCACAAGATCTGGGCCAAAGGATTAGGTTAATAATGGAGAGAAGTAAAAAATGTAGGAAAAACCAGATCTCATACCTGTAAACTAAACTACTCAAGGAAAGCAGAGAATTAGAGTTGGCTGAAGATATCCCACTCTCTGAATCAATGT